ATAGATATAGATATATATAGTTAGTCATATTCAGCAGTTAACCAACTGTAATGTGAAAAACATTTCTGAGCTTAATGTTCTGTGAAATGTGTAGATGACCAGAAATTCATGTTTGTGGTGCATTGTTTCATATTATTTTGTTTTTAAACTGTTTATTCTTTATTTGTTTTTTTTCAGTTGGGGAATTTGTAAGCGATGCTCTTCTGGTGCCAGATAAATGCCGATTCCTCCACCAGGAAAGAATGGATATTTGTGAGACTCATCTTCACTGGCACACAGTAGCCAAAGAGGTACTACCGATGTTCAATATCCCATGTACTTCATGACATTGACATGTCATATGCTGCATGTAAGGTTAAATCAACCAAACAGAAATCATTGTGGAATTACTTTTATTCATGCGGAAAAACCAAAACAAATTTGTTTAAATGCAATCATCTTACCCCAATTTTCTTGACTACCATCTGCTCCCTAATCAGAGAGTTCTTCTCTTCAACTTTGAGGTGGTCCGACTCCCAGACATATTCCAGTTTGCGGTTTTGAGTTCACATTACAATCCTATTTGTTACAAGACTACCCTGGATTTTCACATCTTTTGGTTTAATGCAAACATTTACAGTGTTTAATAAGCAGCTGGAGGGAATAATGGAAGCAAAGAAGGACACTGAGATGAACACAAAGTCAACACAGTTAAACATGCGATTCTCTACAGTTGGCAAACATGTCTTAATTGTATTCAAATTATACAGTGCTGTTAATACAGTATGCTTGGGAGGATAGGTCAAGTCTTGTTTCCCCTAAGACATTTAAATATAAATAAATTGGTCTTTTTTTTTTACTCAGAACACATGCATTGGACAGTGATCTATGCAGATTAGTATGTTTCCATTGTCTTATCTCGGATTAAAGCCAACCTGTGCTTTGTCCATTCAGGTTTGCTTTAATTGGTCCATCCCCAGCAATATATACTTACCTTTACTTTGTTACCCTGCCACTCCATTCATCATTGAGAACCAGAGGTAATACCTGGTACATCTGGGTATGAAGGAACATCAACAGTGGGCCAGTCAGTATTGTCACATGGGGAGTACATAGATGACCTTAAAGTGACACTAAACTCATGAGTTAAACTGTAAAAATGCATTCTTAACTATTAACAAAAATGTCTCTTATCTTTGTATCACTCGGCTGTAGATCCTCAAATCATCTCTGAATTGGTGCGGACACTGTCCTTCCTTCTGGAGGGGGGCTACTTTTGTTCCCCTTGGTCCCTGTGTGTGTTGTAAAGTAGCCACCGCTCCAAGCTCTAGAAGGTTTCTAGAAAGTCCACTGTTGGAAGCGCTCTCAGGAAGGGCTTGTGTGTCATACGCTGGTGTACAGCTCCTGGTTGAATCAGACTGGGGGGGCCCTTGTGTGTGCTGTAGAAAACAAAAATGGAAAAACCGAAGCTCCACAACCTAGTGCAATAGCTCAGGTGTGGTTGGAACAAGGAGTATAAACAGTAATTACACTCGCATGTTGGAGGGTTGATAGGAGCTCAATAAAATAAACCAATAGGGAGCAGCGTGGTGTCGTTTAGGTAAAGTTAGTGAACTTCCAGTGGTGAGAGGGGCTTCTCTGGCTCATGCGGTGGGGATGGAGACGAAGGAACCAGGCAACAAGAGAGATGAAAAGACAGCAAATTATGTAATACTGGTATAAATGGAGCAAGAAAGAAGTGTATGCACTCACCCTCATGCAAAATGGCATGTGGTTTTATTTAGAGGAGGTCTGCTGGTGACCACGGTTGGGCTTATCCTCCTTTTAGAGCTCAGATAGATGCTGTGGATTGGCTGTCCTGAGCGATCCTTAGGGCGGGGATGGTCTCATGGAGTCCAATGTTGATCGGGCATTGATGCTGCTGGAGTTGGATCTGGAGCCCAGTGAATGTGTTTGCCGCTGGTGTGAAAAAGAGGAGGAGGCGGCAATACACTGACGGTGCAGAGGTGTGCACGCTCTGGAGGGGCAGGGAAGAGAGGCCGAAGGAGAGGGGAGGACGAAACAAGTGACAGGCAGTGGAGGGAAAACAAGTGGAAAGAAGGAGCAGGGAATGTCTGCTGTACAGGACCGCTGTATGTGGAGGTAAGGAGGCGACGCTCCAAGCTCCTTCCCGTGATGGACTACAATCTCAATACTAAATTAGTAAACTAAATGTGAGATTGTAGTCCATCACGGGAAGGAGCTTGAAGCGGTGACTACTTTACAGCACACACAGGAACCATGGTGAACAAAAGTAGCCCCCCTCCAGATGGAAGGACAGTGTCAGCACCAATGCAGAGATGATTTGTGGATCTACAGTCGAGTGATACACAAATAAGATACATTTTTGTTTATAGTTTGGGTACTTGAATGTATTTTTATTTTTAACGCCTGAGTTTAGTGTCACATTAAATGAGCAAAGATATAATTTAGTGTTTTCTGTTTGAACAGTCAGTAGATAGAATAGGCATTGCGGTGTGCTGCAGAAGACATTCAGCATACCCTACATTTTTAGCGTGTTTAGGTGCATTCCAGCCCTATGATATTAAATAGGCTGGCTAACACAACTGACCTTAAAGTTGACCTTTACCCCCTTTCACTACAAATGACATTAGCATGCAGCTCTGCTCACGCTTATATGAAATCATCTTACATTCATTAAACATAGTATTCTTTTACTTAAAATATTTTTTTCTATTACCCGGTCCTCTTGGGCACTGGTGATGTAATCGTGTCCAAGTGTTGCATCCTGGGAAGGTTACATCAGCAGAGAATTGCTGGGAAATCTCACCTGTAATCTGATGAGATCTCGGGGAAAGGCATTTTCCTCCCCTGAGATGATGTGCATGGTCACATGTCCTAGTCACATGTGCCAGAGTTCCAGGAAGTAAATGGAGATATATTAGCCTGCTCTTAGTAAAAATTTCCACTGCGAGAAGACTGGGGAAGAAAAGAAAAACAAGTAGGGATGCACCAAAATTTTGGTCGCTGAAACATTTCAGCAGGAAATGGTACTTTGGGCAAAATGCCAAAAGTAAAAATGTTTGTTGAGAATGTGGTGCATCTCTAATTTCTCTCCTCCTCACTAGACGAGGCTCTGTGTCCCCTCTGATCCCATTGGGGAGGAGAGAAACTTTCAGGAGGCCGAGTGGTTCGGGGAGGAGATTGCTGTCGGCATTCTCTCAGGAGGCCAAGCTTTCCTCCCGAGGCCGAGCCAGCGGTGCAGGGGAGGAGTCGGCTGTCAGTGGTGTCACAGGAGGCCAAGCTCTCCTCCCAGCACCCGCCCGCTCAGCCTCCTATGACAGACGAATCAGACGCTATACAAACACTCAGCGATCAGCTGAACTTTGACTGTTTATAAATAACTGAGCACATAGAATGCTTACTGTGTCCCTAGTTATGAATAAACAAGGAGCGCTCTATCACTTTCTATGTATCCATGGTTGTGGACATAGTAACTCATACTATAGCCACAGTTTATGAATGGACAGGAACACTCAATTCATAACAGGGGCTGCAAAGATATTGGTAAAGTTCCTGCAGTGCATACTGGTATATATGAGCCCCAATGATTTAAAGCAACTTGAACCTCCTGCTCAGTAATAGATCTGCAGTATTTGATTTGCATGCTTTATATCATTTGCAATGTTTTTTTTCTTCCTGTGGGATTTTAAGGTCACTTATTGATATCCAATGCTTTGCATGCAATATGTTTATTAGAAACTGAGTATGTGATACATACATAAGAACATGGTGGCTCACACTGGAGCCTGGTTGCATGCAATTGGCTGAGATTCTTGGTCTTGGGTTCAATTACTGTGAAAGTAATTTTGAAATATTCTGAACTTTGCTTCTAGCATCTTATGATTCAGCATTGTTTTGTGTTTTTCAGTCCTGCAGTGAGAGGAGCATGAGTCTTCATGACTATGGCATGCTCCTGCCCTGTGGCATCAACAAATTCCGAGGAGTAGAGTTTGTGTGCTGTCCTGCTGCTGACGAGAATGATAACTTTGACTCTGCTGATGCTGAAGATGACTCTGACGTCTGGTGGGGTGGTGCCGATGCGGACTATGCAGACAGAAGGTGAGTGTTACCCAAACCAGCTCATTGCGGGTACTGCTATCGGACCCATTATAATAAATGGGGTTTATTGCAAAATAATTGTTTTACTCTAATTGCAGTTTAGCCTGCTAAAAGCGCTCAGCTCAGTATTGCTTTCTGCCACTTTCCCCGCACTTCCTGTCTCTGTGACCACAATCCCCAGGAGAGGACTTTAAAGGAGAACTATGGGGTAAGTGTTTTTCCCCATAGTTCTCCTAAGCGTCACGGGAGGACACAAAGTAGTGACCTCCTGTGACCCAAAGCTCAGTATACCGCAAGCTACAGCTCGTGGTATACTGGCACCGCCGCAGCCGGGAAGGATCCTGACATTACTGTCGAGATCCACACAGCTGTGTGAGTGACAGCTGGCTCTGCCTATCTAGAGGCAGAGCCAGCTGTACCCGCCCCCTCCCCCGTCCGTTCCGCCAGTCAGCTGTGGAGGAGCGGGGAGGAGGGGAATCCGTGCATGGAGCCGTGAGTGACAGTCACGGCTCTCTGCAGGGACATGATCGAGGAGTGAGCGAGCGACGGTATGTGTTCACTCACTTCCCGATCTATTGAGCTGACGTGCGACAGTTTCATTGTCACACGTCGGCTCGAACTATGAGGTTGAGTGGAAATCACTCAACCTCATAGTTCTCCTTTTAAGTGTATGTCAAAGCAAAATAAAAAAAAAAAAACAACACATATCTAGTACATTTCTGCACATTTCCCCCATATGTATCCCCTTAAACACCCTGCAAGTAGAGACAAATAATAATTGATGTGTCTGAAATGTAGGATACGCCCTGTAAGGGCATGAAACATCAGTGGAGGAACAAGTTTTTGGCACTTTTCTTGCTCAATTATCTATTTTCTTTTTATGTTTATTTCTCTGAATGTTTTAATGTGGGAGTATTGATTTGTGATGAGGCTGTAATGACAATGATGATTAGCAGTCGCTTGTAGCATGTCCCAGTCTCTTGATGGTCTCCTACTGCATGTCCCCAGTCTCTACTTCTCTATCTTCTGCATGATTATAAATAGTTAGTGCTATATGTGGCTCTTTAGTGATGTCAGGGGATTCACTTCCGACCCCCTATAATGGAGCTAGGTACTGCTGTTGTAGAGCCATAATTAGTAGGAAAACTGGCTTAGCGCCTGGATACCTGCCCCCGCAAAGTCATACTAGCCTGCTAAGACTTTAATGCTTTTCATGCCTTATTACATACTTAATAACCGACTATTCGAGAACCCCTTGGGGAACCTTAAGGCACTAGGATTAGTATGTCTGGATAAAAATAACTGTGTACAGCTTAATTCCAGGTGCCATCCAGATGAACATAAAAGTGGCTGCTTGAACAGATTGGATACTTCCAAAACCTGTAGAAACGATTGGAGCTCCGCCAGCTGAATGTGCAGTTTAAATACATATATGTGAGCTGTTTTACTAACAGATCATTCTTTTCAGATAACCTTGTGTCATATCTCAGGATCACTGCACAGCCAGACAGGTGGCGCTATGATTTTTGAAGCTTCCTGCGTCACCTCTGTGGTTATTGGCCTAAAGAAAAATAATAACATCGCTAATTGCTTGTGCAAAAAGCAGGCGGCACATGAAGCTGCAAGCTAAGAAAGAACATGGCGTGTGGCATGCCTTGGCAGAGGTGTGGGAGTCACAAGAGCAGCTTATTGGAATATAAACTCTGTTGGCAAATACAGTCTGCATATATGTGTTTTAACGGTGTGTTCAGTGTGGAGTTCTGCATAGGGAAAAAGATGATCATAATCATTAGAATAGTAGGATAATACTTTTTAGTGCATTTGGTGATTTCAGTATCCATCATATTGAACATACGGAAAGTTATGCTTTTAAACTTTGGATGTGCCTTTGGTGGACAACGCTTCACCTCTGATTACATTTTGTACGAGGACACTTCTGTAACTGCAGCTTTTTTTTATTATTCTAAGATAATGAGTTATTTCAGAATCGTCTAGTTTTGAGAAATGCTTTGTTCTTAAAGGAAGCAGTTATGATGTGGCCATGCGCTCAAGCAGCCATGCAGAATAATTGCTAGTGCTCCAAGCACAGACAACTTGGAATTGAATTACTTCATGCTTAGAGAATAATTTCAATTAGTCAGGGATAAGAGAACCTTGTCTAGGATAATATATATTCCATCAAAGTAACGGGTTATGCGGGGATAGGCTTCTCTGCACTAGTTGAGCTGCTAGGTAGGTAAGCAACCAATAAAATGCTATGGAGGTAAGTAGTGTGCTCTTCTTCGTTCCTTTTGTAATTAAGGTTTTAGTAGGTTAAAATCAAACATCTTCTTTGACCATTCAAGGCAGGCTTACTTTAACCCTCCCCTTATTCCTAACAGTATATGCGTACCTTTCCTTTAGTCTCCACTCTGTTCAGTAGTGGGAGCCAAAGGAAATGTCCTGTACTTTTGGGTATTGGGAAGCAGCAGGCTTACCCATGTGACCGCACTATGCCAATCAGCACTACTACAGGAGAAATGGCTCCAGTGATTTCTAGCGTACACAGGGCTTTGCTTTCATTCCTAACAACTGAATGGAGCAGTAGGGGAGGGTTTGCTGCCATCAATACGTGTCTGTTGGCAGTGCAAGTACTTAAAGCCACACATGCACGTGTCTTTAAAATTGTTGTGGTACTTACAGTTCCTGCAATTGAAGAATACTTTGTCCCCATTGATATAAAAGATTGCAGTGGTATCGTCCTGGCATATATGCAGTCCCGACAAAAAATTCCGTCATCCATAGAGGGTGGTGCCAGAGCAAACAAGGGCTAGCGTATGCACCGGACGCTAGTTTGTGTCCTCCCGTTACCCTAGGGAGAACTATGGGGAAAAGATCTCATGTCGGCACTTCTTGCTTTGCAATGTAGTGCTCATAGGATTTTCTCCCTTGCGTCACATGTGGGAGGGACTGGTGCTGCATAAATAGGAAGCCCTGAAGAAAAAAAGCAAGGGGGTGAAGCATTACAGGGGACAGGGTGTGTGGAGGTTAGTGCACAGAGGTTAGCCAGATTGGGTGCACTGGTAGATGTTTCCAAAATTCTTTAATATGCTTTAGCGCCGCTTTAATGGTGGTCCCCATAAAGTAGTCCAAACATTACCATTATATGGGAACCATTGTGCGCTGCAGTGCCATTCATTTTGAAGCGCACCCCAACGCACTACTACAGTAACAGGAAATGCACCAACACTGCAGTGCAGCACAACACGCATGCCTTGTATTGTGGTACTACTGCATTAAGAAAAAGGGGTTGTGCCTGATTTTCTGTGCATAAAGGTGTGCTGCTAGTCCATTCAAAATAAATGGGCTGCCTTAATGCAGCACGCCTTAACAGATAGTAATGCGCTGATTTATGCAACACATACTGTGAAGTTTTAGCTGAATATTTTAATTGTTGCTGTTGCGCCATATTTTAATATCGGGGTTTATTTATTACAAAGCGAATGTTCACTTTGCAGAGTGAATCAACCCCATATTGTTTCATGTACAGGTTAGTGATGCTCCCTCTAGGGGTTATCTGTGTATCAGGGAGTATGGTACGGCTACCATACTCCCTGACACACATATAACCACTCAAGGACTGTTGATGAGCTTAATTAGCCTCATTTAGAAATTACAATTACAGTCAAGTCATAACTGGCCCATTAATGGTCCAGTAATTATATGTTATACTCCTACAAGCATTCTTTGCAATAACTGGACCATTTATTGACTACTTTGGGGGCAATAACTAGAGTAGAACCCCAAATCTTTCCTTTAGAGACACCACCGGTCCTGTATTTACCATAGCAGCATTCAGGGGGCCTGTGCAGTGTAAAACATTAGCACTACTAATGAGATTATTCACCTAAAGCTGATCACAGTTATTTACTGTAAAAAAAGAAATAAACACAATTGCATAGACTTTATAGCTCAACTATCTTTCCCTTTAAAGCTGAACTCCAGACAAACTGCTAAATACACCATTGAAATATACATATCTGATAGCTGTGTTACTTGCCTAAGGATTTGTTCCTAAAACAAAGAACAGCCCGGTGTGGAAGGGCAGGTGACCTGTTTTAGCTCTGCTGCAGTTATGTTACACTTACAGTTCTCCTTCCCACCCCCACTATGTGACTGGACCGTGAAAGGAAAAGCAGAAGACTGATGAGCTCTTCTCTCTGTCACTATACTTTCTTCTCCTATCGGCATGCTCCTCGCACTGCAGCACAACTGACTGGTTACTTGTGCTGCTTCTCCCTCCCTAGTCTGAGCTCTGCTGTATAGGGACTGCTAAAGGTTGATACCAAGTCAAATTTACATACTTGCTCTGCTTGCATCCTAAAAATACACATATACAAGTGTTTGATAAATACAGCACAGCATTCATTTGTTTTTTATATGTTTGACTGGAATTCATTTTTTTATACAGTTTATATACTTTTTTTTTACAATTTAGACAAAGTGTTTATTTTACAAATATGCATTTAAAAGAAAACTATGGCCAAACTTTTTTGGGGCTTTAGTTCTCTTTGGGGGCACAATGTACTCCTGTAACCCAAAGTCAGCATATAGCAGGCTATTGCCCGCTATATACTGACAGTGGAGAGCCGTGCTGCAACTGGCAAGGACCCCAAAAATATTGTCAAGATCCACCCCTGCTGCCTGATTGACAGCTGTCTCTGCTTCTCTGGAGCCAGGGCCAGCTGTGCCCGCCCCCTTCACTATCTGTCCCTCCAATGAACGCTGGAGGAACAGAGAGAGGGGAGGGGGCAATCAATGCACGGAGAAGCCATGAACTGAGCGATCAGCGGTTTGTGATCACGTAGTTCTCAAGCTGTAGATCCGGCATATGACAGATGCAGTGTCACACGCCGGCTCAAACTATTGGGAGGAGTACATTGTACTTTCTCGGTAGTTCCCCTTTAATACAGAGTACACAGGTCATTCTAGGTTTGCTAAAGAGCGATTGTAGCAGAAAC